ATGAACCTATATAAAATGATATGCAATCCTGGCCACAGTCTGTCTAAAAAGTCCTTTTCTGCATTGTTGATTAACTGACATCCAGTCCTCCAGGTAGTCTCCTTTATAGTAGATAAACTCTCCTCTTTGCATAGCAGTAAGCACATCTATCTTGCTATTACATTATCCTATTAAAATGAATTGTAAACTTTTTGTTTTCCCTACCAGCATATGAATAACTTGGCCATCTGTATACACAAAATTAAGACTTTTTTTTCTGATCAAAGTGTAGAACTTGAGCCAGCATTTTTGATGGTGCTCAAAATACATTGAATAACAAATTTATATGCCTTTCACTAATGTCTGCCAAGTGCATTAGAAACTTCCCTGGTGGGCTAAGGCTTTATGTATTAAGGAAACTAATCTTGGTGGGCTCTGAGGTTTTTGTTAGATTGTGATTAATACAGCAGGGGACGATATTGGAAAGAACCTTTAAAGACCTCCACTGGAACAGCCTCAACTCAGGCCAATTTCTCTTCACTTAGAAAGGATTGTTGTAAATCTTGGTTGAAAAGGACAAGGCTTGATTTAATACAGCTTACCTTTGAGGCACAACAACAAAGAAATGATTCTACTAATTTGATTATCATTTCAAGGTGTTCTTTGTCCCCATTAAATCTAAAGGGAGATAGGGCCAGGAGAGGTGCACGGAGTCCTATTTACAATTAAGGTTATTTCATATTTGCTTCTCTGATGACTGGAAATTTTGGTTGCTATCAGAGACTTTGGTTCTTAATTGATAGCTGTTAGGTGAATTATACTGGAAATAACATTATTACAGAAATTTCACTAACCTTTCTCTGGAATATATTTTTTCATTAGTCTTAGGAACAACTGGTCCTTTGTTTTATATTAATATTATCAGAACTGCTGAAGTATGATGTGGTATTACCCTCTGTATGCTATGACTATGTTTTATTACCATTCTTTAATAAAGAAGCTGCTTCAGCCTATAGAAGGACAGAATATAAGCAAGCTGGAAGAGATATAGAGAAAGAGTAGGCAGAGTCAAAGAGACGCCATGTAACTGATGAAGGAGAGGATGCCAAATCCTTCCTTGTAGGCCACAGTCTCGTGGTGATATAGAGATTAACAGAAATAGGTCAGTTTAAGATATAAGAGCTAGCTAGCAAGATGCCTAAGCCGTTGGCCAAACAATGTTGTAATTATTATAGCTTCTGTGTGATTATTCGGATTTGGGCGACTGGGAACGAATGAACAGTCTGTTTACAGAAGTATAATACACCTGCTTTTGAAATTAAAGGCACTGTCTGTGGTGAACTGAGGGAAAGGAGGAGGTTGTTATTTTCTCTTGTTTAAAATATGAACTTCTTTTAACTGTTCTCTCCATGTTTTAGTGATCAGTGTTATTAAAAAGTAAAATATAAAAGGGATAAATTAGCATGAGAAAACATTGCTTATTAAAAGAAAGCAAGAAGTTGGGCATGGTAACAGATACCTGTAATCCCAGCACTTGAGAGTCAGGTAGGAGAGTTGGAGAGTTCAAGGCCAACTTGGACTACCTAGTGACTTTCAGGTTAGGCTGTGCTATGTAGACCCAGTCTCAAAAAGACAAGAAATCAATATAGCTATATCAAATAATAAATCTAGGCAAACAGAAAATATCCACTAGAAGATATTTTATCCAAATGTCAAATAAGTAGAAATATTAAAATATATTTTGTACAGTAATCCAAAGTGAGCATCTTTGCAAAATAAATGGTAAGTAATAATACGATCTCTATAAGCACAATTTAGAAAACATTTATATTTTTTCTTCAGCCCCAAAGAGACAAAGGATTAAAAGTTCTTCTTCCAGTGGAAGACTCCTTTCCTAGCTGACATAATTCCTAAAAATAACATCAGTTAGAGAATTATTTGTAAATTCTTCATCTAAAGCCAATTAAAACTACATTACACTCTAAAATCTTAATTAAGGGATTTTCATTTTTATTTTGAAATAGAGAGTGACAAAATGTTAACAACCAGAGTCATAAATTGGGTTGACATCGTTTTTAAAAATAGTAGATTAAAAAAGGTTATTTCAAGTGATTTGTTTGATATGGTCGCACATATCTCAAAAAGTATATATCCAATTAAAGTAATTAACTTAACATTTCTACTCTACCTCCATTAAAAAAGAATCTGCGGCTTTCCCCAAAGGTTCATAGTTTGGCTTTTAAATCTAGACTGTTGAAGAAAATGTGACATCATACCAATTAGTTCATTATATTTTTATATATGTTTATGACAACATACTTTACTCTTAATAGTTAAAGACTGTATTGTTCACTAAGAGAAGGCAATATTAAGTTGCCCAGGTTTTTATAAAGAGAGAGCTATAATATGTGCACTTGCATGGGGAAGATGTTAAATTCTGAGTAACAGGCAGAGTACATAAATGGTAGTTTGTTTGAACAGTTGTGGAAAGAAAAATGCCAGATTCGGCTGAGTCATTTGTAGTTAAGAATAAAAGAATAAGAGCAGTGATGATTTAATCCTTTTATTTTTCTACCCTCCCCAAATTGAGAATACATAAAGTGAAAAGCCTATTATGTTCTGAAGAGTTTAAGTGGAATGATTTATGCTGATTATATTGTCAAAGTCAAAGTTAAATGCTATATTTCATTTAGCAACCAAAGGGAGAAGTGAAGAGAAATGCTTAAGGCCTTGGTGCAGTCTGTTAGACAGTAGGAATCTACACTCACATTTTGGTTCATTTTTAGATTTAGTTTTACAGTTATTTTACATGATTGAGCAAAAGATAAATGCCTAGCTGTAACATAAATTGGGAGGGGGCTATGCACTCCTTCAATCTGATATAGGGTCTTCCTCAAAATTCTCTTTCCTTTCTCTGGAATCTTGCTTTCCTATTTTCTTGCCAGTGGCCTTGTCACATAATTTCTATCAATTTATCCCTGTCTGTCTGTCTGTCTGTCTGTCTGTCTGTCTGTCTGTATCTATCTATCTATCTATCTATCTATCTATCTATCTATCTACCTACCTACCTACCTATCTATGTATCTATCTATCTCTACCTGACTAATCCTGGTGTGTGGCAGTTGTCTTGCTAGTCTGCTCACCAGACAAGTGATATCTTAATTTGCACTTGCTGGCAATATGATCCACAGTATGGTTGCTTGTCACAGAAGCCTAGTCTTTCAACCTGCAAATTGCTGCTGCCACCAAATGTAGTCATGCTCTATGTTCTTCCCATTTTTGGTTAGGTATAGACCAGGAAAACTCAGGATGAGTCTCAACGTCTTTGTGGTTAAGTTTCATGAAATGCATCGAGTAGCTCTTCCGTGGCCCTCCCATCCACTATCATTGCTCATTTTATGACGCTGATACAAACCTTTTCCCTCACTTTCCAAGTTGAGATTCTGGCATGAACTTGCTGTTACAATCATGCATCATGATCTCAAATAAATTTGACCGTTTAGGGCACTATTCACTAATTTATTTCACATTTATGTAACATGATGATAGATCTAAGGGATAGGAACTGAATATACAACTGAAGTCTCAGCTGTAAAATGTAGCTAACAATAGAGCTAGTGTGAGGCTAGACTAAAACAGAAAGTGAATATTTAGCACCTTGCTTAACAAAATTTGTGTTATTACTAATAGTAATATTTTTATAACATTAACTTGTGTAATTAAACTCCTTTTTAAAATTTTGTGTATATTTTGAAGTTTGGGTTAATTTTTTTGTTCTGTATCAGTAGTATGAAAACATCACTATTTTATCATCTACTGTTTAACCTCTTTGTGTGTGCGCACGAGTGTTGGGAGGATATGCTGTCAATTCACGACAAGTGAAGAAAGTGACATTCTGTATTTCATAAAACTGAGTTAGAGAAAATGACTACGGCAGGAACTGGCATGATTTATTGACATTATTTAAATGATTATAGAAAGAGAAGAGGTTTCTTGTTTACTCAATGTGGCTCTTTAAGAGTTATACCGAGAAAAAAAAAAAGCTATAATGGTGGTAGAGTTTGCTACTAGACACTCTAGAATTGTCACTGAAGTGAAGCCTCATTAGGCAAAATGTATTTCACTAAATGTTGCATAGAAGCCTGCATAGATTTCTGAAGCAAACAATATGTGGAATATCATGCTTGCAATTTGTCACTAACTTTCAATCCCGTTATTACTCTCGAGTTCTTATATAAGAACATCTGAACACAAAATGACATCATGTAAAATAGATATCGGGACCCTGTGTCAACGGAGTTGGGCGAAAACCTGAAGCAGAGGCTTGGTAAAGGCACGTGTAGGGGTGGGGGAGGCTCCAGAATCACCTGGAGCAGCCCTGACTTCCCAGGTCCCTTTTAGCACCCAGGGGAGATGCGACAGCCAGTGCCATCTAGCCTCATCTAGGCGCTTCTGGCTAGAGTCGAGTTCCCGTCTACCGAAGCCCACACCCCGGTTTTCCGCAGGGACTCTCGGGTTCAGGGGAGTCACCTCGGGAGCCGACTCTGCAGCCGCGAAGGCGACAGCGAGGAAAACCAGGGGCTCCCATTGTCACCCTAGCAGTTCAGCGGCGTCCCCTCCCAACGGTGGCAGGGGTGGGTGAGCTACCGTACCCTCCTCCACTACCTCGGCTGTCGGTTCAACTGGTGGGGCGGCCCGTCGCAATACCGCGTCTCCTGGGAGGCCACTGGGAGCCATGCCCCTGCCGCCGCACCTGACTGACTGACTAAACGACCCCCAGGCTCAGTCCGACTTCAGTCTCGAGCCTCCTGGGTCGCCAGCACCTCAGGCGCCACCGCACACGCCCTCCCTGCGCGGGTCTGGCCGAGGGCGGCCCCGGGGGCGGGAAGGCGAGAGCGGGAGCTGCCCGCACCTGGCCGCCTGTCTGGCAGAACTCCGGCCGCGGGCGCGCGCTGGCACACGCACGCGCTCACGCCCGGCGCGCCAGCTGTCGGGCTTGGGGGCGGGACCGCGCGGCGGCGAGCGGGTGGGGGGCTCGTGGAGCGCGCGCCCCGCACCCGAGGGCTGCGGAGCGATATTTTGGGTGGCAGGAGGCCCCTCGTCATTTCCGCCGGGCGGCTCGTCGTGCCGGGGGCTCCACTCCCGCGCGCCACGGCGAGCGAGCGGGCAAGTTGGCTGCGGCGCTGCGCCGGCGCCTCCTGCCTTCTCCCGCTGCGGCGACCCTCGGCGGCTCGAGCCATGAACTGAAGCCCCGCGGGGACGCACACCCGGGGCTGAGCGGCGGCTAGCGGCGGAGGCTGCAGCAGCAGCCGCCGCCAGTGCTGGGACCGAGCCGACCCCAACGCTTTTTCCCCGGCCGGCCGGCCGTCGCCGCTCCCACCCACCGCACTCGCTCGCCTCCGACGCTCCAGCCTCGGGACCGCCACACAAAAGCCACCCTCTCCGAGCCGCCACCCCGGGAGCCTGCAGCCGGCCACCGACCCCACCTGAGGGTGCCTCGGGCTGTGGACTTCGCTTTCTGTCCGAGCTCCGCGTCCCACGCGGCACTGACCCCCGCCACTCATGGCTCTGATCATGGAACCGGTGAGCAAATGGTCTCCGAGTCAAGTAGTGGACTGGATGAAAGGTAATGCCCTCTGTGGGGAAGGCAAGGCGACCCTGGGGGCACAGGGTCCCGGTGGTATGAGGGAGGGGCGCCCGCCAGGGCACAACCCTTTTCTGGGAGCTTCCAACCGACTGCTAGCGGTCCTCCCTGGGGATGGACGGGGGTCCTTGGGCTCTGGTAGGGGCTCGGGGACCCTGGTCTCCTTTTGTCTTCAGCCCGAGGGGCGAGGGGAGCGAGCGGGCGGCGGGCGCCACCTGGTTGAAGCTGGAAGCAGGGCGGTGGAATCCCGGCGCATCATCTTAGCCACTTCCCGCTTCCCTCGACGCCTTCGGGCCGGGAGGACGCTGCGACCCTTGTTTCCCAGCTAAGGGAGGAGCCCTCGGGACCTAGTCTCAGGATTGCCCCTTCCCTGGTCCCTTTGTTCCTGGAAACCTGAGGCCCCTTCTAGGTCTCAACCTGCCAAGTGCCTTCCCCAGTGCCAACTCTCCTGGCAACTTTTAAGCCCGCAAAATGGGGTCAGGATGCAGTCGCTCGGGTTGGAAACTAGGGACCCCCTTCTCCAGACTAGGCTGAGGATGATTTGGGAAGGGGGCACGCTACTTTGGGGTGAGGGAAACATGCTTCCCTTGGGACAGCATCCCTGCTGATACATGTAGGTTGCCTCTTGCGCACCCTAGCATATCCTTTGCTTTCCTAGGTTGAGGTATGCGGAGGCTTTAGACCTCTAGCTGCTTCTTGTTAAAGGCTCAACGTCAGGTTTAAAGTGGTGCGCATTCAAGTACTCTCTCCTTTCTTCCATCTTGAAGGCTCCCCCAGCCCCCGACAATTTCTAATAACCAGTTTCAAACCTTCACCCTCCATCTAGTCGCAAATGTGGGCTTTTTCTCTAGTCTCTGGGCTTTCCCGTCTCACTATCTCCCTCTGTTGTCTGAGTTGTGGGGCTTGTATGGGATCTCTCCAATCCATCCCCAGACCAAACTCTGAGAAAGGGATGTCTGGGTTGGAATAAAAAATTCTTGAACACGCTTGGAGAATGCTTGAAGTGGTACCCGAGCACACAAACTTAAGATGCGTAGTCTCCAAGCATTATGTCTGAAAATGCCCTTTCCAAAGACGAAGGAGCCCCTTTTCTAAGTCTGGCTTAGCAGCCAGACTTTTTTAGATCTGCGTACTTGAAAATGGAAGGTGGGTGGTTGATTGGAAGGTATTGAAAGTAATAGGGAGAATCTCAATTCTCCCCTTATTTTCCTCATGCCTATTTGGACGTTTGCTTATTCTTCTGGATTTCCCTTTATCTGTTTTGCTTCCTTTTTTCACTGATTTGCCCTGCTACTCCTCACTTACTTTGTTTTCTCATCTAATATGTGGGGAAAATGCTTTGTAACTACAAAGCACAGTGTAAGTGCAAGTGAATTGAATTAAACCTAATTCATTATTTATCCACTGCCCCCTGTGTGCACTGCATTGGGTGTCATGGGGGTTATAAAGATGACTAAGACAAAGTCCAGCAATGGCTCATCTTTTCTGCTGCTTGCTTTCTTTCCATATTTCCTATTAAAATTCCAGCTTCCTGGATTCCTACTAACACCCCCACAGCCCCAACACATACACACACACACACACACACACACACATTTTCTCTCCCTCCCTCCCCCCCTCACACACACACACACACACACACATTCTCTCTCTCCCTCCCCGCCTCTCTCTCTCTCTCTCTCTCTCTCTCTCTCTCTCTCCTTTTCCTCTCTGCCTCTCTCCCTCCCTCCCTTTCTCTCCCTTTTCCCCCCTCAGGAGAAAAAAAAATCTCTTTTCAGTTTCTCAGTCATGGAAGACAGAGTATTCACAGGAAGGAAGAATGCTTAATTAAAACTCTTTCTTTGAATTTGTCTGAAAGGTGAGTTTAGTTTGAGTCTGTTGCTGCCACAGTATTCAGAGAAAAGGAGTCTTGGCTTCATGGGAGTCAGATTACCTCCATGGACTGCCTTCTAGAAATTGCCATGATGCCTGTACCGAGTGCTGCATACTCCATCTTCTTTACCTCCCACCCAGTTGCAGTCTCGCGTTTTCCCTTCTCTCCACCGTCGTAGGTCCCGGAAGCAAGCCCACCAGACCAGATGATGTATGTAATCTGACACACATTATCAGCTTTCCAGTACACTGGTCCTTTCAAACGCTCTCCAGTGCAAACTGCAGTTTCTTTGCACTTTGGTAAAGACTATTTGCTGGAATTTTAAGTTTACATATTTAAGTTGAATCACTTGTTTGGGTACTTGTTGGTGACATATTTTTCAGCTACCTGAAAAAAAAACCTTAGGTAAGTGTAGGAGCCAGCCAAAGTAGGAGCCAGCCAAGGTAACCAAAGGTAGAATTTGCGTGCTTTTGTATAACAAAAGACTGGATGACAGTGGGAGAGCAGTTGCTTTAATTACCAAACCGCTAATTGTTCAAATTTCTGTGATAGTCTATAAATTTGAGATTCTATCAGAAAAGATTTTTAAAAATAGTTGAAGGAAATGAGCATTTCCTCAACTTGCCCCTTCTACTGTTGTTACCTTAGTTAATTTTCTCTACTATTTTTCCACCAGAAAACTTTAACAAAAGACAAAAATAGTTTTCACACTTTCCTCAGTTGCAGAAATGTTTAAAAGCCAACTGCTAATTGAGCCTATAGCTTTGAAATGATTAAACCTTGCTTAATGCTTTTTCTATGTAGTGTTATAAAGCCAGTACTAAAGCATGAGCAACACTTTGTTGTTGTTGTTTGAAAAAGAATCTCAAATACCACAGACTGGTCTTGAACTCTGTGTGCCTAAGCATGACCTTGAATTTCTGATCCCGCTTTTTCCACTGCCCCAGAACTGGGATTACAGGTATTGCTTGAGGTGAAGCTCAGGTCTCTCTTCATGTTAGGGAAGCATCAAGTGAGCTAAATCCTCAGCCCCTTAAAAAAAAAAAAAAAAAAAAAAAAAAAAAAAACGAGTAAGACTTTTGAATAATGGCAAGATCCTGGGAGTTCTTCAGAGTGTATTCCTTCTGTGACAGCTTTATCCTCCTTAATGCTTGTAGCTTTCAACTGGTCACAATCATAGCTACTTATACTGTTTTAGTCAGGCACATACTTCATATTTTTCCAGGACTTTATTTATTTATTAAGCAGGGGAAAAGTACCAATAGATTTATAGAAATTATATAGAAACTCAGTCATCAAAGAAGGAAACAAAGGAGAAAAATAACTTTATTGAGCTTTCACAGCATGTGTGCAGATTGTTTTATGAAGGACCATTAACGTGACAATTCATTTTGATCTATTATTTTTATTTAAATGTATTTGAAGATGATGCCAATATAAAATGTACATATTAATTTTTAGCAAAGATGTAAGTTGCTTATTCACTCTTTGTAGGTATAGTGCTGGTCAGTTTTTCTGCTGGCAATGAATATTTGATATAGCACATTGTCATTTTTGCAGGAAATGCACAAGGCATGATCTACTTAGGAGACTTCTATTCCAGATTATTTTTATAGTACTTCCTGATATTTGGTGATAGCTCATAAACTTTTACATTACCTAAAAATTAAGTTTATAAAATTGCTGTTGGAGAAAATCAATATATTCATCCCCTTTATTAGCACTTGAAACCAACCTTCTTCAATTGGAAAGTACGTTCAATTATCTTAGAGTTTTAACAAATTAAGTCTTAAAACAGACATTTTCAGCATCAACAAAGACAAGCAAGTTACCGAGAAAAGGCATAAACAACAAAATAAACCAATATCTTTCTAATTTGTTGCTGAATCTGTTAATCTAGAATGTTATTTTCCAGTTCTTGTTTGTTTATTTGACAATCCTAGAAAGCCTCATAATCTATAGTCTCATGAGTCCCTGTTTTCTTTATTTTTTCTCGCTAAAACATAACATAAACCTCTGAACACTTCAGTGTTCCTCTTATTAATTTTATTATTAAATTTCCTTGTCCATCTTATACCAAGTAATTCCACTCTCCCTTTCATAACTTTTTGAGCTTTGAGACTAATGCAAAATATCCATATGGCCAAGATAATTATTTTCTAGGACCATTTCCCTTTATGATATTCTTCTAGTGAGCTTTAATCTCTTTCTGGGTTAAATAAAATGGCTATCATCTTCAGAGCAAAGCAGAAGGCCCCCTTTGCTGCTCTTTTCTTATGATTTCTGGGACTTAATTTCACAGCATTTATAATTGCCAAAATAATCTAAAATTTTAAGATAGTCTTTAACCTATTCTACAATCAATTGCTCTATTCTTTCTTGATCATAATAAAACATTTTGTTCGAGAACTAGTCCCTGACTTCTGGTTTCTATACTGATGACTCAGCCATCTTGAGCATAGAAAATGAAATTATTTTAGGTATTAAAAAACCCAAGCTTAATGTTATGCATGCAGTCCTATAATAGAGAGAAATGTAGTGATTGCATGATGTCTATTTAGTATAAATGTGAAGTGATGTAGAGGAGACTATACCGATAAGACAGAAATTTTGGCAGGTGATTAATAATTCTTTTTTCCCCCTCATAGGACATCAGAGCTTAGGTTGAAATGCATCTTAATTGTATAAAGGAAATTATCAACCTTTTAAGATAAGTTGAATTGAGGGAAAGAAGCTAGAAAAATTTATGGCAAGAACTTAAAACTGTACACGCTATAAGGAAAAGATGTTAAACTGAATTGATCACATTGGTTATATTACTTTTGAAATATTGATCCTTTTTTCAAATTCAAGGTAATTGGATAGGCACAGCAATCCGCTTTGGATTTGACAGTTTTGCTTTTTTTTTTCTAATGGGAATTCTTATAATTTTATGTAAGAAAAAAAGACGTTTACCTTCTGATAGGTGTAGTCCACAAGTAACATTTGATTTGTATTGTCATTGACATTTGATTTCTAACGTTCACAAATTTAGTCATGATTAGAAAGAAAGAACTAACTGTATGACTGTAATCTGCTCCTTGGATATTATTTACTGAGTACATCTACA